CTACAAATTGACATTTGGAAAAATCTTGACTTCTGAAAATTCATAATTTGGCAAAAATTTGTAATAAAAAAAAATTCCTACTTGCAAGGTACGTTTACTTTAAAGATCTATACTTGTAAAATTCTGTAAAACGGCTGCAATTGGACAATATAGGGTAAACATACGATTCTTCCCAGTTGCTCGGCACTTCGTTTTAAAAGGGGGATTGTAAATTGGTCATTTAAGAGTGGCGAACGTGTCCCATAAATCTCACTTTCAACTGTAATCAACTGTTGGCCACGAGAAAAAAAGAAAAAGAAAGCAAACGAAATTACACCGGGCTTAGAGTCAATACCACAGGGGGGAAACATTTTACTGTTGTGTCTTCACCAAGGGTGAGGAAGCAGAATGAATTCTTGATTAAAGGACTCATTATTTATACACAGAGCGTGCAATTCCCGTGGAATTGTTAAATAGATTCGTGGTGGCGAGGTATGAAGAGAAACGAAAGCTGTTACCAAACAATCAAATGGTCCAAACATGTATATTACAATTACAGCAGTTACTTTTTCCGCGAAAATTCATTCTCGTCGAGATGATCCATTCGTTTAACGAGAATCTTTGTAAAAAATGATCGTTTAACGATGATGAATTTGTGTCTGTTGAGACACGTGGAAATTTACGAGGGGCAACAGTGATGGAGCATAATTTCAAGTGACTAACGTGAATTTGATGGTACGAGGGTTGGTTGAACGATAGTGCTTGACTCGTTGCTTCTTTTTGTTTATGGGAGATAGCCAAGATTGAACCCCTGACAATGAACCTACAGCCGTGTCGAAGCGGCTATTCAATATTTACTCTATGATGGCCTCTGAGCCATTTGTTGGCACACAGAGTTTCTGATAGTATTTCCTCGAGTATGCCCGTATTTCTCAGCATTATTCATCCTGAGAGTAGAATTCCTCATAAAACTGGGAGTTTAAGTCATCGAAATTAATTTCACCAAATATTTTCAGCAAAAGTATAGAAAAATCAAAAGACATTGTTAACATTAGTTAGAAATATTTTACTGCATTGTTCACGCACATTCCTCAGTATTACTCATCTTCTGAGTAGAATTCCTCATAAAAATGGGAGTTTAAGTCACCAAAATTAATTTCACCAAGTATTTTTCACAAAACCAAAATTCCAAGAAATATTTTTCAACTAAACTTGATTTTACAAGCTCGCTACTTTGTACTGTGATACAATACTGTTGTTAGTATTTATTATTATTAAGACAAGTATTATTGAATTTCACGTATATTTCGTTAAATAATTTCATTAAATTTCAATGTCGTAATATATTTCCAAAGAGGGTATAATTAAATCTCTGAATAAATCCTTTAATATTTTAGTATATTACAGGTAATACACGTTTGAAGCAAAAGAATTAGAAAAACTTTAACAAATCTTGGCAAAAGAGCACTGGTTATATAACACTCTACAAAATAACGCAGTGAAATTCATCAGCGTTCAGATTAACAAGTTTCAAGCGATAAAATATGAACTTCCATGTTTGAACTTGCACAAAAGATCTCTGGTTAGTACAGTGATGAACAATTACGAGAAACCAAAAACAGAAAAAAAAGGAGAAATGAATTAATTAATCCTCAGAACGAATTCTATCTATCAAAGGTTCTCTTTATACCACAAAAATATAATTCACAATTGTATCACGAATCTATTCAGTATTCATTCGTACCATCAACAGGAAAGCAGCTAATTAGCTCTCTCTCACACACACACAGTATAATCCTCTTCGAAATTCCAAAGGACGCAAAAAAGAACAAAAAGAAATTCTCATTAGAATATGTTCTAAAGTCCAGGATCTACCAGAAGAGAGATCCAACATTTGCTACGGCAATTCATCTGTCGAAAGAAAAGAAGGTAGAAAAGTTTTGTTGGTCTTCGTTTAAAGGTTAGGAGCATGAAGAAAAAAAATGTCACGGTAGCCTGTTCTGGTGTAACTCGTTGCCATTTCCAAAGTACGGCGATACAGAAGAAACCATATCTGTTTCAATCCGATTCGATTTGAACGCGTGCAACAGATTGTTTCCACAGCCAGCTCGTGGCAAAAGTTTCTCGCAACGGACGCGATGACGAGCGTGAAAAATGCATAAATGGACAGCCTCGAAAAAGAACAAGAGGCGTGGATCGATCGACTGTCGCGGTTATTTTGCCGGACTTTCGATGAAAAAACGTCCCGCTCTAGGTGTATTGTTTTTCATTTGAAAATACACCATCCTCGAGGAGAAGGAGGCAACATAAAGTCACTGAAACCATGATTTTCGTGCGATAGATATAATCGTGCATAGCTAAAATATCGTATCTATCGATTTCTCAGTTTTCAGGTTGTGCTAAAATTTTTAAGTATTTAATTATTTAAAAGAATAATTGAATATTTATGATTAAAAAAATAATATAAATATCCTACCCATCGATTTCTCATTTTTCACGGTGTTCGAAAATTTTGATGTATTTAATTATTTA